CAATGAAGTTTAGTTTAGTTTATGGTTTCGTGGACAGTCCCCTTTAATTAGCTCTAACACAAAAGAGTAAATGGGGCAGCCTTAGTCAACATGGTTAACTTCCAGCTGCCTGATGACAATAGACACCTAAAAGCACAATACATCACTAGCATGTATTAGGAAGAAAGGAGGAAAGACAAGAAGAAATAGGAAAGATAGGATAAAGGAGAACAGTGTAATGTAAAACCACAGGACAGACAAGCACGGAGAGGCAAGGCGTGCTTCTTGATGTTACGAATGAAATATCCTTCTATGATTGTCCTCAGGTATTTCTCCAACAATGTCTGTAAATACATTACATTTAAAAGTGTAAATATTCCTTTAGCATGTTCTCCTGAATAATATATAATCCTTACTTATTTTTTCTGTAAACAGTTTTATATATGTACGTGTTAACATTCACTTCCACGTAGTAGCGTAAAAATTATGTTAACATCCATTGAATGAAGCTTTCAAACCCGTTACAGGAACATGTTGTCCATCTTTCAAAGACAAACGGGAATTGAAAGTGGTGACACAGATAGATAGGTGACAGAGTGTGGAGGAGTGTCCGTGGTTACAGAGGCACTATTGGGTTTTGTTGGGGTTTTCCCTGAAGTGTGCTATATAGGTTTTAGTGTAAATGGTCTGGAAAGGCTAACATCCCTGTGTTCCCTCCAGAGGGAGTTTCTCTCCCATCACTATGACATCACTATGTAACACTCACGCACCTATTCGCTAGCGCTCCGACACATTGTTCGTGATAGGCTAAGGGGCAGGACATCTCTAACAGAGCCATCTTTTCATCAACATCAGCAGGAGAGGACTCTTTAAAGTAGAGACACTAAATACTTATATACACCTGAACATCAGCAGGAGAGGACTCTTTAAAGTAGAGACACTACATACTGATATACACCTGAACATCAGCAGGAGAGGACTCTTTAAAGTAGAGACACTACATACTGATATACACCTGAACATCAGCAGGAGAGGACTCTTTAAAGTAGAGACACTACATACTGATATACACCTGAACATCAGCAGGAGAGGACTCTTTAAAGTAGAGACACTACATACTGATATACACCTGAACATCAGCAGGAGAGGACTCTTTAAAGTAGAGACACTACATACTGATATACACCTGAACATCAGCAGGAGAGGACTCTTTAAAGTAGAGACACTACATACTGATATACACCTGAACATCAGCAGGAGAGGACTCTTTAAAGTAGAGACACTACATACTGATATACACCTGAACATCAGCAGGAGAGGA